TTTTGTAATCTTTATACAGTGCACAGATAACACTTAGAGTGGCATCTTAGTGACAGCCTCACAACCAGCTGCTTTTCAACAACTGGCATGAGTGCTGTCAAGTTTATTAACAATTATAACTAGTACCGTGAGTAAGCGAGTGAATGGTTGGCAGTGAATATGTTCCGTTAGACTTACCGGTAACGGTATTTCTAGGAATCTTCCAGGACAGCAACCTGAGAGATGATTGGTTCCACCTTCTACAGGAAACACAATTAGCAAAACAGTTAAAAGCCCCTCCCCTTCCCCTCGTACCTCAGTTGTGATAAAAGTAGACTACCACCCCAGTAAACGAGGGGACAACCCAACAATAAATAACATACCATACATCATTCCGGGTGGGAAGTAGGCTTGCTGTCCTGGAAGATTCCTAGAATGACCGTTACCGGTAAGTCTAACGGAACATTTCCCCAATCATCTATGCACCTGCTCGAACAGACTCTGCTGAAGCATCTGCAAGATAAGCCACTGCTCTAACACCGAAAAAGACTGTAGAATTTGATCAGGAGGCGCCCCTGGGATATATGAAGAGAAACTCTTTCCAGCCAGAGATCAACCAATCATCTCTCAGGTTGCTGTCCTGGAAGATGATTGGGGAAAGTGAGTTGAATAGTGAGTTAAAAGGAGAACTATGAGGTGAGCGATTCACACTCATCCTCATAGAGCCGACGTGTGACAATGAAACGGTCACAGGTCGGCTCTGTTGGTCAGGAAGTGAGCAAACACATACTGTCGCTCACTCACTTCCCGATCATCTCCCTGCAGGGATTCCCCCCCTCCCCTCTTTGATCCTCCAGCACTGACTGGAGGAACAGACGGGAGGAGGGGGCGGTCACTGCTGGCTCTGCCTCTAGATAGGTAGGGCCCGCCGTCAATCAGCCAGCTGGGTGGATCTCAACAATATTGTATATATAGTATAATACAGGGATGTCCCGATACAGGTACGTGCATCGGTATCGGGACCGATACAGGGCATTTTGACAAGTACATGTCAAAATGCCCCGATACATAGCGCCGAAGCTCGTGCTATTTTTTTTCCTTGCCTTCGGGCTGTGGTGCGGGAGAGCATCGGCGAGTCAGCGCTTGTCCGGTGGGAGGAGCTCCAGGCGGGGTCCTAATTTAGCTGGCCGGCGTCCTCTGGGCAGTCACCGGCCAGTAAATTAGGACCCCACATTGAGCACCTCCCACGGACCAGCGCTGACTCGCCGCTGCTCTCCAGCACAGCGCCGACTATGACCTCACCAGCGAGGCACATCGTGAGGCACGGCAATAGATTTACAATTATCCCCTGCTGATATGAATGGATTAAATGATCCATAGTACAAAATAGTACATAACATGTAGTTGTACTACCGATCATTTAACCCATTCATGTTAGCAGGGGAGAATTGTAACGCTATTACTGCAGTGTACTCTATATGTAGTACATACAGGTGAAACTCGAATAATTAGAATATCGTGCAAAGTTCATTTATTTCACTAATGCAAATTAAAAGGTGAAACTAATATATGAGATAGACTCATTACATGCAAAGCAAGATAGTTCAAGCCGTGATTTGTTATAATTGTGATGATTATGGCTTACAGCTCATGAAAACCCCAAGAACCCCAAATCCACAACCTCAAAAAAGTAGATTACATGCAATCAATAAAACAAGGATTGTACATAGAACAATATCGGACCTCTGAAAAGTACAAGCATGCATATGTACTCCGTACTTGGTTTGGGCCCCTTTTGCAGCACTTACTGCAATTACTTTTGCACGATATTCTAATTATTAGAGTTTCACCTGTATATACAGTACACATTCCCAATACATTGCAGTGATAGATTTACAATTATCCTCTAAGATTAATAGGTTAAATGATCCATGGTACAACTACATGTTATGTACTATGGATCATTTAACCCATTCATGTTAGCCGAGGATAATTGTAAATCTATTGCTGCAGTGCACTCTATATGTAGTATATAGTACATGTACGTGACACACGTCCAGTACACTGCATCAATAGATTTACAATTCTCCCCTGCTAAAATGAACAGGTTAAATGATCAATGGTACATAATATGTAGTTGTACTATGGATCGGGGAGAATTGTAATTCTATTGCTGCAGACTGCGGTGTACTGGACGTGTATGCTGTATATGTACTATGGATCATGATTTAACCTATTCATGTTAGCAGGGCAGAATTGTGAGCGCCTGCCACAACCTGAGCACCAAGACGCGATGCAGCGATCCTGCCCAGTGCCGACTACGAGGGGCACCGCGTGAGGCATCAGGGATCGGAGAAATGTGAGTTAGGGAAGCTGGGACAAGGCTGGCTGTAAATCTATTGCTACAATGTACTGGAAGTGTGTACTGTATATGTAGTACATATATACAGCACACACCTCCACCACACTACAGCAATAGACTAACAATTTCTCCCCTGCCAACATGAATACGTTAAATCATGATCCATAGTACATAATATGTAGTCGTACTAAGGATCATTTAACCTATTCATGTTAGCAGGGGAGAATTGTAACTCTATTACTGCAGTGTACTGGAAGTGTGTACCAGGTTAAAATGATCCACAGTACACACTTCCATTACACTGCAGTAATAGAGTTACAATTCTCCCCTGCTGAATAGGGTAAATCATCCCAGAGGCAGATGCATGATCGTATTTGTAGTTTCACTACAGCTGTGTATAAGCAAATACAAATGTTTTATTGTTCTAAAACAGTCTTAAATTAAAGTTCTTCATAATCATAAAGAAATTGGCCTAAAATCATTAGTCTGTATTATTTTTTAAAAATGTCACCTGTCCCTTTAAGAAATATCGGTAATTGGTATCGGCAAGTACCTGAGGGAAAGCACTAGTACTTGGTCTTGAAAAAGTGGTATCGGGACATCCCTAGTATAAAACAAAACAAACACCTTTTTAAATGGTTGAATAATGATGGTTTGATATAGACATGTATTATTTGCTTCAGTACCTCAATGGTACATGCATTCGGGTTTTCACAAAAGACCATTTTCACAGTTAAAACACAAACTAAAAAACTTTTAAACATTTCCTGAACAAAATTGAAAATATAAGCCTTTAAAAAAAAAATATTAATGCAATTAAAAACTGTGAAATATTGAATACGAAAACTTATTGACATTGGATCACTATTTGTTTACCTGTACTGTAGCTGCTGCTGCAAAAATCTCTGGAAGTGTCTGACATACGGCCAAGCTGCGATCCTCCATTGAAACTTCAAATGCTGTTTCCAGACACTGGATTGCAACTGTGGGAAGGAGACACACAATTAATTGTTGTACAATTACATCATTACTTTAGCTAGCAGGAAGTTATAGTAAAACCATGTTTTAAGTTTTTGGATGGAGTAGGAAAGGGTTAGAACCTTTGGTAGGTTTGTATTGCTGTCTTCAACCCCACTGTGGATAATTTACCCTCACCTCATTTTGCAGAAACAAGACAGAAAAAAAGGTGTAATTTACCTAAAATAGTTAGGATGAAGAACATTTTTTTAAGAGAGTATTCAAAGGCAGATCATCCTATATCCAATATATCTACCATGTATCCAAAAGTGAAGGGAAATCCTGCCTTTTGACAGGCACTGAACAAATGTCCCCATCTCCAGTAGTTCATGAGGATACACAGCAGACCTCTGGTTATACACCCCACCTCAGAGAGGCTGGACAACTAGGCCATTTATAAAAAGGTATATTGAGAGCCTTAAAAAAGGAGAACTATGGGGTTAAGGCTTTTCCCCATAGTTCTCCTTAGGGTAACAGGAGGACACAAACTGGCATCCTCCCGTCACCCTAAGCTCAGTATACCGCGAGCTACAGCTCGCGGTATACTGAGACGCCGCAGCGGATCCCGACAATTATGTCTGGATCCACCCAGCTGCGTGACTGACAGCTGGCTCTGCCTATCTAGAGGCAGAGCCAGCTGTACCCGCCCCCTCCCCCGTCCGTTCCGCCAGTCAGCGCTGCCGGATCGGACCGGGGAGGGGGAAATCGAGACCCTTCCCTGTCACGGCAGAGAGGTGTGACAGGATCGAGAGGTGAGCGAACGCCGTTATGTGTTCGCTCACCTCCCGATCTACTGAGCCGACCTGTGACAGTCTCATTGTCACAGGTCGGCTAGAACTATGAGGTGAGTGAAAAGCACTCACCTCATAGTTCTCCTTTAAGATCCAGGATGTGAAAAGAGCCCCAGTTTGTTTGGGTACCATAAAAAGGTTTGAATAAATAATAAAGAAAATGCTCCCAAGGTGCTAAAGGAGCCCCAAATGTAAGGCCCTGAAAAGGTGTAGAGGTTCAGTAAGGGAAACAGTGAAAAACCAGTCATGAGTAGGATGTAGGTTCATTGAGAGTAAAAAGTAAAAGTAGGGGGCGTGCCCGGGATGAGGCTGAACGGACGTCCATTGCTGCAGCTCCTATCATCCGTCCAGCCATCCTGCTTCTCTGCTAGCCCATTCGGACTTCTACACTTACCTTCTCCTGGCGGGTGGTCCGTTGACAGCTGGCAACCTATTCATGCGAACCAGATGGCGATCGGCCTAGCCCCGAGCGAGCGGTGTGACTTCAGACCCTGCTCCTGTCACGCGTGCCGGCGCCATCTTGGCTGCACGCTCTCCCCCTCTCACTAGCACTCAGACCGCTCAGTGGGGAGACATGGAGCCGGTGGTGAGTGCCCCTAACGCGGCCAGCCTACATCCCTGTCAGGGCAAAGATCCCCCAGATGACACGGACTCTATCCTGGCGGCAATAGAGGCCAGTAAAACAACCCTAATAGCCAGGATGGATACACTGGCCACTGAATGCGGCCTAATCAGTCAGGATATGGACAAAATCAGAGGACGCATTACAACAGCGGAGGCACGAGTGGGAACACTGGAGGACACTTCAGGGGAGCACGCCCAGACCCTCAGGAGCTTACAGCGCTCAGTGGAGCAGTTAACCGCACGCTCAGAGGATGCTGAGAATCGCTTACGCCGCGATAATGTGTGGGTAGTGGGGCTCCCGGAGGGGGTGGAGGGCCCAGATCCTACCTCCTTTGCTGAGGCGTTCAAGGAACTCCTGGATTTGCAGTCGGTTTCTGCGGCCTACATTGTGGAGCACGCACATTGGGTGCCCACGAGCCACCGACCTCCTGGCTCGCCTCCTCGGCCATTTTTGGTCCGTTTCCTCAATTTTAGGGATAGGGATCTGATCCTCGCTACTGCCCGAAGAAGAGAGTCGGAGCTGAGGTAAAAAAAATGCTACCATTATGCTTTTTCCTGATTTTTCGCCGGAACTACAGAGAAAGAGGCGCTCATTCGTGGATGTCAGGCGCCGTCTCCGTGACAAAGGTCTGAAACAGCATGCTTTATCCTAGCAAACTGAGGGTGCAGTTTGCTAGCAAGTTTTTTTGAAGATCCTTCTACGGCTGCAGTCTGGCAGGACTCCCTACGTTGATAACCAGGACTGAGCCTGCCAACTACATGATCCGCTGCCGATTTATCCTGCTGTGGCCTCACCGCCGCGTGGTCCTGACAATGATGCCATTAGCCTTAGTGTCACACAGACTGCAAGGGTACATAGCTGAGGATGTACTTACTCCTGTAGGGAGCTGCAGGAGCGATATGGTAATGTATATTCTCAGCTAGACATTGTTGGAGTTTTGTCTTACTAACGGCCTACGTTAGAGTATATAGTAATACTCTACCTAGTTTAACAGATTTTGGGATATCAAGCTATTTTGCTTGTTACTGTTGTTATGTGGGATAGCAGGGTGTTTAATGGGATGTTTACTGTTGTACGCTATGACTCCGATGGCGCTCCTCCCCAGAACTGGGTTACGCTGTTCATGCAGTCCGCTCTCCAGGACTCTCTGGACTTATTGACTTTCCGCACTCTGATGGCAGCTGATCTGCGAGTTATATCATGGAACGTCAGAGGCTTGAACTCTACATTCAAACGGGCATTGGTGCTTAAGTTCCTACAGTCCTATAACCCACGAGTTGTTTTTTTATAGGAAACTCACCCACTAGGAAAAAAGATTTTGGCCTAGCAGAGGAGGTGGATAGGAAGAGCCATTCATGCCACCTATTCCTCCTATGATCCGGCTCCTATGATAACTGATCCGGCTGACGTTCTCCAGGAGTTTGTTGTCTATGAGGCTCTCTACCAGCGGATTCCTGGGTATGATGTCAGTCAATTGGACATACTCGTGGATTCGGTGGACATGCCACAGCTGTCAAACGCTGATAGGGAGCTGCTGGGGAGGGCCTTCACGGAGCAGGAGATTCTCGGGGCTACTCGATCGTTTCCGAATAATAAATCCCCGGGCCCAGACGGACTACCAGCGGAATGGTATAAAAAATACGAGGAGGAGCTGGTACCTAGACTATTGAGTCTCTATGACACTTGCTTACACTCAGGATCATTGCCCTCTTTTATGTATGATGCCCATCTGGTCCTTATAGCCAAACCTCATAAGGACCCGGTATTATGTTCCTCATATAGACCAATCTCGCTCCTTAAAAAGAAGAACTATGAGATGAGTGATTTCCACTCACCTCATAGTTCTAGCCGACCTGTGACAATGAGACTGTCACAGGTCGGGTCAGTAGATCGGGAGGTGAGCGAACACATATCGGGTTCGCTCACCTCTCGATCCTGTCACGGCTCTCTGCCATGACAGGGGGAGGGGCTGGATTCCCCTTTCCCCGCTCCGATCTGCCA